AAAATGAACGAATATATAAAACAAAAAAGAGCAAAAAAAATTATCTTTATTGTTATTATGTCAATTTGTATAGGTAAAATTTTATTATTTCTCTGAAGAAATGGGGAAAAACGGCTGCCGTATTACAGAATATTTTTAATAAATTTCAAAATATTTATTTATATAACTTATTTTTCATTTTATATACCTATTACATGTAATAACAATGTTACTCTATTTAGTTGTTTTGATATTTTCTAATGGATATTTAAGATGTACTCGTAAAAGTAAATAATCGCTAATATAGTCGGAGCAAAAAAATTTGAAAAATTGATGCGTTTTTTTTGTTTGTTTTTTTACTTTTATATAAATTTAACATTACATTTTTCAGGTATTTTAATTATTGACTCTCGTATCAGTTAGAATAAAGTTTTTATTATGAGACAAATTTTTTAAATATCCTTTTGCTTACTGTTTATTTTAAGGAAAGTACATAATATTCAAATTTACATACAAGACAATTTCATAAGAGATAAGACAATTTCGCGATATATAGTGCTACTTATACTATATTTGTAGCGCAGTTAAATTATATATGAACTGTTTTTACAGAATAGTCAAAAATGTATTGTGTACTTTTCTGGTTATGTTTTTACAGTGTTGCGTTTTGCAGTTATCGTTTTGTAGTATTGCGTTTTTAAAATCTCTATTATATTAATATAATAGAGCTGAGCGGCTCATTTGCAAAAAAAGATCTTGTATATATTTATTTGTATATATTGCTCTGTCTACTAAAAAAACGAAGAATATAATTAAATGATAATAACTTCTTAAGGAAATTGTTGTTCTCACACTTTGTGCAATCTTTTTTTATATTTAAATCGTCTAAGATTTTTAAAAAAACCTATAAGTTAGAAAAAGAAAAAAAATACAAATATCGTGCGGAGTACACTCTTGATACTCTTAAACGGTATTTTTCATAAAACTTTTCAATACAGGATTATAAATTTGAGCAGCCAATCGTATACCAAAATTTATCAAATGTTAAATAAAAACAATAAAAATTAAATTTGTTTGCATAAATACCAAAAAGTGCAATTATTGACGCCCAGGCACAACTCTTGACATGGCTCAACAATACGATTATTGACACCTAAATATAGCTATTGACATTATAGAAATGTACAAATATTGACATATCTTTATGAAAAAATAATAGAAAATGCAATTTAAATAAAAATAATAGCTTTATCGCAATAGTTGCAATACACTTAAGGTATCTGTTATAGGAATTAAAGTTTATCATTAAGTTCATCAAGTATAAACTAAAATAAGTAAACTATAAATTAAATTAATAAAGCAATAGAAATTTGTTGGAAAAAATATACATATTTGAAAAGCAATTTGTAAATTTTAAGCTATTTTATACAACCAGGACAAGTAGATAGAAGAAGGTGTGCTGGGTTAGTTTAATCTTAAGATTTATTTCCAGGCTATTATAAGATTTATTTTCAGGTTTCACAAATCTCAATCTGGAAAAAGGAAAATGCATTTTCAATGCACTAATTCAACAGTTGCTATATTGTTACCGAAATTGGATCAAACACCCTCTTATAAGCTTACATAGTACATAATGATTAAATAATGACTACATGCATAAAAAGTAATTCTTTCATAAATTCTTGCAACATTTTTTTACGTAATAGTAAAATGTTCTGGAAAGTGAAAAAACGAATATATATGCACTCAAATCTAATCTCAAAAATCGGGTATATTGCAAATTTTGACAATTATTTCAAAAGTTATATAAAACAAAGTTTCTTAGTAGCTCTTCCATTGGTTAAGTTATTTGCAAAATGTGCTTTTTTTAGCTGGTGCCAATAATTGTTTCTTTATAGTAAGCACCCATGCCAATAATAGGAATTCAGCAAAAATTCGATCAATCGTTGATACCGACAGGGTTCCTAGAAATAGTTTATTTACACTTTCTTACAATGGAGAAATGCGTTCCCACAGAATCTCATTGTATACCGACCGCATTGTATATGGAATGTTAAAATTATGGAAATTAAACTACATTTAATGAGATATTCGAATTTATCTAATATTAGAAAGATTAGTGAATTTAGAAGCTATAAATACATACATATGTATGTATTTATTATTTTGTCTTTAACCAATAATTGGTTTTGTAATTGCATAATTACAGTTTCTTTTATTTGCTTTAAATATTTGTTTATTGTTTTATTGAACTGCGTACAGATACTAAATTAATGAAATTGCTGCGAAAAAATTTCAGTAAAAACTGCAATTGATAAAGGGAGTTCTTCAATATTAAATCGGATATTAATTTAATGCGTCTGCGCATATAACACATTAAGAAAAATTTTGAGGTTAATTTAAAATAAAAAAATGTTTGTTTTTTTTACATATTTTTATTACAAAATTTTCTAAATTGCAATGGACAGTTTTTTTTTCTGATTATTGAAATTCAAATGTATTTTAATAAAATACAATAATTTATGTGATAACATTTGATTATTATTTTGAATTTTAATCACAACAGGAAATGCGAACTTTAATAAAATAGGCGTATTACAAAATACTAAATACATATAGGTGATCGGATAAAATATTTATAATAAATAAAATGAAAATCAACTTCCATTTTATGTTTTCTTCCTGGTTGATTATGAAATGAAGACAAGAAAAAATACTTTGTTTTTTTCTTATATATGTACATACATATATATAAAAACTTTTGGTGATTACAAGGAATATTCAGAAGTTTTTTTGTATAATAGAAACTTACCTTTAGTTGTGTGAACATTTTATGTATTACGTTTTGTTTTGTTGGGCTTTAGATTTTTATAAAATAAGAAGAAAAGATACGATTTAAACGCAAACAAGGGACTAATATGAATTAGATATATAAACACATATCTACAACTTCATATTTTTGTAATATGCTATAGAAATTCACATTATTGTTGAAATTATAACAACAAAGCAAAAAAAAAATAACAACAGAAAAAACAAAAAAGTCAGGAAAAAAGGTAGCCGAAGGATATTTTACCGTTATCTTCCATTTTTTCAAATACTATGTGTACTCCAAAGTTCAAATGAGAAAAGAAATTTGAAGAAAAAAAAAGGGAAAAAAAGTTTACTTAAAAAATTAAGTGAATTTCTCATTTGTAATTTTATTTCTTTTCTTAAAAAAAAAAATGGAATTTTTTTTCACTTAATGTGGGCAACCATTTGTGTTCATTTATTTCTGAACTGCAATAACGCGAATTTTTGATATAAAAAGCTTTGGTGTAGTTAACCGAAGAGCGTAAGCTTAATTTTCTTCATATCCAGAATTATGTAAGTTAATGTAATACTTGGTATGAATTAGAAAAATGAGGTATGCACGTATACTTGCTTAATTGACTGAAAATATTTTAAATTCTATTAACAAAATATTTTGTTAAAATTTTCGAACGGCACTGTAAATAACAACCCATACACAAAAATATTATTCTTCCACACGTAAAATTATCCGTTAAAATATTTATAATAAAAATTTCATAAATCTTTCAATTTTCAACATCTCTTTCCGAATTACGTAGTTTTTCGTTTTTAGTTTGTACACAGGCCTTACTATGTAAATCAATTTTCGTGAAACGTTTTTCAAATTCATAAAAATGGTAGTGTTGCTAAAATGAATTTGCATGGTAAGTACTAGCTTTTCATTTCTGCAAATACGAAAATCGAATAATATAGTAAGGCCCCAGAATTAAATATACTCAAATGTTTATATTTTTCACTGTACTCAATTTTTCATCTTTACTTAAAATGAACGTCAAATATCACGTTAATTTTTAAGTTTTGCTTCTTATAGCCTGATTTATTAACTAGACATGATGAAGCTATCATTGTTTCACTTATATTTTTCGTTTCCCTCTTTATACCTATAAACTACCATATTTGTATTGAGTTCAATGTCAAATTTTATATATTATATATTATACAAAGTATTGTGTCCTGATCGCCAAAAGTACCAGTGGTGAATTATACCGATTGTCAGAGTAAAATGCTTCGCTAAGAATTAGAAGGATTGCCCAATATGTGACTTATTAAAGTTGAATATTATCTATGTATATCCTTAAAAAGTAGGGTCAGGTGATTCGAAAGTATTCGCTCGCACTTCGCATTCCGTATTTTTATTTATTTATATTCTTCTTTTTGTGCTTGCATTTTTTTTTAGATCTGCAAAGCGCGAAAAAAGTTTTGTAATTTACAAAAATAAAATTAAAAAAATATATATATTTTCTTTTTTAAAACGAATAAAAAACTAATTTCGTAAAAAAATAATATCCAATAAAAAAAAAGTATAAGGTAGGAGAAAGAAATCTTTCTTAGTCTTTTTTTTAACAAAAACTTTAATAATTTTTTTTTAATTTTCTACTCATAATTAAATCGCACATACTTTGTAAGAAATAAGTAATAAACGAACGAACCATAACAAAAATAAACAGGTTGCAAGGAAAAGAGGAAACAGCGAATTTCACCTTAAGAGTTTCATTTTTTTAACATGGTTTTTGTTTCTCCCAAATAAGAAAACTTCAAGAGCTTTAAGTGGAAAACTTTGTTTTTCTTTTTTATGTTATTTTTTTCTTTTTGTTACATCTTCGCGTTTTGGTTTTACTTTTAAGATTATTTCTGATGGCATTCTTTTTAATAACTTAAAAATATTTCTTAAGATCTTGTCCAAGAAATTCAATAAAGCTGGGAAATTCAAACATCTTTTCATTTTATCCAAAGTATGTACAAAAATATGAAAACAAAAAGGTGATTATATGCAAATTCAATTTTTCAGAATTCTTTCAAATCTTTATTTAGCTCTTGTATTGGTTTTTGTTATTTTTTTTTATTAAGTTCATTTACATATTTTATTTTTTAATTAAAAATTAAATTCTAAACTACAAAAACAAAAGTTAAATAATGCACATATTTTTTTTATTAATCTTTACTCATAGGGATTGTTGAGAACAGCAGAACAATTGAAAATCAAAGGCTTATGTGAAACAGCTGAAACAACCGATGAAAACTCAACTGATACAACAACAAATACAACCATAACGGTGCCACAAGAAACTTTATTACACACACAATCTCAAATCCTAACTGGCAATCTAGTATCCCAAAATTCCTTACAAACAAATTCTTCCCAATCGACGTTAAATAGTGTCATAAATCATAGTCAAAGTCAACAAATATTAAGTGCAACAACAACAACTGGACAACCAACATTATTTTCCATAGCATCATCAATACCAACTACAACTACAACACAGTCATTAACTACAACACAAACGACAGCGCAACGTAAAGCGCGTGTTAGAAAACGATCTAAATCACCGGTTATTCTAACAACAACTGATTCAACTTCAACTACATCAACAGCACAGCAACAAGCTACAGCAGCTGCAATACAACAAGCAGTACAACAGCAGGCAATTGTTATTGCAACAGCAACAGGAACTCAAGCATTTAGTAATTCATCATCAATTGTAACATTAAATCCAAATACAGGTACAATAACAACGATACCAAGTGGTACCGGTAGTATAATAACAGTACCAGCAAGTAGTAGCTGTAATACATTAGCGGTAACAGGTCAAACAAATCAAAATTCTGATACGTCATCAGGCGGTAGTACGCAACAACAAACGCAGCAGCCCCAACAAATTGTTGTAGCTACATCTAGTGGTAATACTATAGGAACAATTGTAACTGGTGGATCAAGTGCATCAACGGTATCTGGAACAGCGACTGTAGTTAATGCAAAAGCGACAAAAGTTTGTAAAACTGAGTTAGCAACAAGTAATGGAAGTGGCGTTGTTACGCCAGGTACAATAGTAACACAAATAGTTGTAGCACGTGACAGTAAAGATAGTAAAAGTATGACCAGTTTAGGAATGGGAATGGTAAGTTTTTAATTTTGTAAACGATTTAAAGGATTTGAATTTTTATTTGATTTTTTTTGTTTAATTAAAGAATGGAGGAATTTTGGGAGTACCGATGGGATTTTTAGATTTTGCCCCTGAACCACCGGCACCATCGGCAACACCCGTCACTGAACATGTTGACATGAATTGCGCACCAAGTTCAGATACAAGAGACTTATCTAGTAAGTAAAGTATTACCCATTTTTTATTACTAACTTTAGTTTTAAGTTAGCATGTGATAAAAAAAATGAGAATGTGTTAAACAACTAATCTGAAAACAATAAAACTATCAAAATATTGGAAATTTAGATATTTTAATTGCTCCTCTTTGAATTACAAGTATCTAAAAAATCTGAGGGTCAGCATATAACCAATCGCAATGTATGTTGCCTAGTGTACTGAAAGTGATGCGGAACATTATGAAAATGCGTTTTAAACACTTTAGAATTTTAAGGACATGTAAGTTCTTAGTAGAATTTCGCTTTTTGTCACCCCACTTCCCTGAAAAGTTCAAAAGTTAGCTTCGGTAAGAACTAAAACTCAAATATCAAATTTCATGAAATTCCACCAATCCGTTCCGTAGATATGGTAAAAAATGTACGAAAAGGTCCAGTTCGCGATGTCTGATATGTCCCAAAAGTTGATCAATCCGTGTCATAGCCAAAATAAACTCACATATAAAAATTCATCAAAATTGGTTCACATGATCTTGAGATACACACGTGCACACACAAACCGACGGACAGAAAGACCGACATCTCTCTAAAAATAGTCTATTTACGCTTCCCTGCTATAGAGAAGTGCGTTTCCACTGAAAACTCGATATGCAAAATTTGTTTCGATCACATAATTTCCCTTATAGGTCGTAAAAATTTTCAAAATTATTCTTGAATTTATCAATTAGCTTGCAATATGCTGCGCTTTTTTGGTATCTTACGATCATTTCATATTTTAAGATTTTTAAACCAAAATACCTTTAGAGTTTAGAAATTCCGCAAATCTTTAAAGGACTTCATTTCAAAACCAATCACGTAAACGAATATTTTGAAGTTTATAAAACTTTTTCTCATTTTTTGTGTTAGTTATAGTTACATACACATTTATGCTTTCTTAATTTTCTTATTTTGTTTAAAAATATTTTTTAACCCATTTAAAAGTTTACAGATTACCTACAACAAAAAAAAATTTTTGTTTCAATGGTTTTAACTGACGACATTATTTTATTAATAAAGCTTTTAAATTTGCAGATTCAACACCAGCAAATGGTGGTGAAGTTCGTATTAAATTCGAGACTCTTCGTTCTTTAGATCCCACCGAAACCCTTGACATTGACAATCATTTAGCCCAACATATTATTCAACGTTTAGATCAAACACCAATCCAACAAATTCAACATCACCAAGATCAACACCAGCAACAACAGCAGCAGCAACAACAACAACATCATCCACATCATCATCAACAGCAACAACATCAGCAACAGCAGCAACATCAACAAAATACCACCAATAATAGTAACAATATTGCCAATGAAACAAATTCAAATTTAATACAAAATATTAAAAGCGAAATAATTGAAGTCAAGCAACATCAATTACACGCTCAAGCCCATCATCAGCAAACCCAACAATCCCAACAGCAAGCACAACAGCAGGGACAATCTCATCATCAGGTTATAACAAATGCTACCGTTATGGAAATTGATCCGAATAATATTAAACATGAACCACAAATGATTATAACGCCAGAAATAGCAACTATAATGAATACTGGACATATGGGTAAGCAGAGGTTTGGTCGTTTAGTGAATGAGTCATTTTAAAAATATTTTATTTTATCATTTTATGTTATTCGGATGCAATACTTTATTGTAAAATGTATCAAAAAAATATTCAAACGCAAACTTTACAAAGTTTTACAATCCAGATTGTAAAATAAAAAAATTTTACAATGTCAACTAATCCAAAATGTTAAGTACCAAACAAAATAAAAGCAAAAATGAAGCAAACCGTGCGTAACTTTACTTAACTTTCAAAACATTATAGTATGTATCTAAAACTTAAATCGTGCGGCTGAACATTTTTATACATATGAATTTTAAAAATTTTTCAAACTTCATTTCTTAGCACTTTTCCAAAAAAAAAAATGGAAAAAGTGCTTATTAGTTTCGCTCTTTCTGTCCGTCCATCTGTCTGTTTGTGCGTCTGTTTATAAAACTTCTACATCGTTCAAGATAGAAAGCTTTAATGATTCGTACATAGATCTTTACTAGAAAACTATTCCCGTAGAAGAAAATTTTTACTTATCTCCCCTTCTCTAAAAGTTATAATCCTTCAAAAACCAAAGCATTTTTTGAATTTTATAAACTCAGAGAAATGGTGGCTGGATTATACTACCGCGGCATACCATAGTTGAACTTAAAAAAAAAATAAAATGGTCGTTAAAATTTACGGCTATCTAAAATTTTTCAAACTTTTGATATAATTTTTCTTCTAAAGCTTCAGGTTATAGGAGTCTGAAATTTTGTCACTCTAATAATTAGTTCATTTCGTTAGAAGCAATTTTTTTCCACGTCCACTCCCTCTCAACTTATCGCCTCTTGAAATTCGTAAAATTTGAATTTTTTCTTTACTCACGCAATTCACCGTTGAATTTAAATATTTTGTTAGAGCCTCTTTCAATTTTGTTTTCGTTCTGTTTCTATTTCAAAAACTGAATACATAGCTCATCCTAAGTGTATGCAATCTTTGACATATATTAATATACGAAAGTAATTTTAATAATATAGTACATTGCCTTTAATATAGTACAACTTTATTTTTTATAAAATAACGGCAAATTTTTTTTACAATGTATTGCTTAGGGTAACATAAATTTATTTTAGTGCGGTATATAAATAATAAAAAAACTTTGTTTTGTGAGAATTTGGATGTCACAGTTCTTCATGAGTTCTTTCTAAAAATTCTTTTTTAGTTTTAATGTATTTATTCATATTTATTAATATATGTACGTGTATTGAAATTTCTGTTGATATTTTACGAATCTTATATACTTTTGTTGAAAGAAATACCTTATTTAGTTTCTATAGAGCAAAGTAGACTCAGTGAGAGGTCTTTCATTCATATTATTTTTCCATTTCATATTTTATATTTTAATAGATAAAGTAAAGAAAAGTGTTTTTCGAAAACAAATTTCACTACATTTGTTATGTTTCATTCCCTTTTAATTTAAATTGTATTTATATAGATATTTACAATTCGGACACAAGTGAAGACAGCCTGATGATTGCTAATGGTTCCCCGAATGACAACAATGCGGAGCCGCATTATACTAATTTGGATCAACCACATGATAGTAAGTTAAATGGCCCGAAAACTTGGACACAAGATGATATGAATTCAGCTTTAGATGCCCTGAAGAATCACAATATGAGCTTGACGAAGGCGTCGGTTACATATGGCATACCGTCAACAACGTTATGGCAACGAGCACATCGGATGGGTATTGAGACACCAAAAAAAGAAGGAAGTACCAAATCATGGAACGAAGACGCCCTGAACAGTGCTTTAGAAGCTTTAAGAACTGGTCAAATATCAGCAAATAAAGCATCAAAAGCCTATGGTATTCCGTCCTCAACACTATACAAGATAGCAAGACGAGAAGGCATAAGATTGGCGGCACCTTTCAACGCAGCACCTACAACATGGACACCAGAGGATTTAGAGAGAGCATTAGAGGCAATACGTGCTGGTCACACATCCGTCCAAAAAGCTAGTATGGAATTTAATATCCCAACAGGTATTCTTATATTCAATATTGCCTGATATCGATAAGATTTATAAATATTGCTAAAATACTAAAAGGTACACTATACGGACGCTGTAAAAGGGAAGGAATTGAACTTTCACGATCGAATCCAACTCCATGGTCTGAGGATGCTATGAATGAAGCATTAGTCGCTGTTAGGTGAGTGGTAAAATATTGTTTCCAAAACAAAACTGAATAAAAAAATTTGCTGAATTCGGGGATAAGGCAAATCATTTAGTAAAATATTTTTTCTATTACCAATTTATAATTTTTTTGGTTTTTTATTATTGTTTAGTTTTGTTGATATAACGTTTTATTTAAAACCCTAATTTTCGCATATTAATGCCAAAAATTTTGAACGATTAAAGTCTAATACTTTCAAATAATTTTGACGTTTCCCCAGCTAAAGTGGAAATGAAAAATTTATTTTTTGTCAAGTTAAAGCAATTTTCACAAGCTAAAACAATTTTAATTTGAATTTTTTTAAGTATAAACCTTTAATTGTCTTAATGAAAGATATTTACATACATGCATATGTTTAAAATTAAGAGAAAGAAATAACTTTTCCAATGAAATAGATCACTTGTTTGTCTTTAATCACATAAATAAAAGGACGATTAACAAAATACTGAACAAGATTTGGAGATTCGGAACAAACAGCCAAATGTCCTAAAATAAAAATAAGCACATTTATTTGCAATTTATTTATACCCTTCATTATTCATTAAATACTAATTTTGCTTAGATCTCAAATTTTACTTTTATACAAATTAAACTTTTTCAATAAATAAGTGTAAACTGATTGAATCAGTTTTTGTAGTTGCATCAAATCTGTTTTTTTTTTGTGATGAATTTTAAAAAGTGAGCTGAAAACTAACATATTTGTAACATTTGAAGTCTTTACAAAATCAGTACTGAATTATTTTTTAAAACTTACTGGGTAGATCTCTATCATCTGTTCCGATTTCATTTGATTCAACTTCAGCTTTATGAATAATTTTACTGATTTTTAATTTAGTTTCCCTTTCTATTAAATTTGAAAAATCAATTATGTTATTAAATGAACTTGTTTCATTAATTTTTTTTAAAAGTTTAAGAATATCTAACTTGGATTCCATTTTGAACTTCGGAAATTTTATCCACATTGTGGTTTCTTGCAGTTTGTTACAAATATCAAAAAAATCTATTTCTGTCAGTTGAATTAATAACTCATTAATATTCTGATTTTCTTCAATAGGTAATATCACCAACATTGCTAATTCATTTTCGTAATAACCAGCATATCTGAATTCAGCTATTTTTATGTTGTGCTCATCAAATTCACCGTATTTAAAATGTGGAATCGTATTTTCCATCATCGCAATTTCAACACTTTCGTTATTATTATTAAAAAAATTTTCCTTGCTTCTTGCACCATAAAATGATGCATCCCATGAAGCACTCAAACTAGCAGCATTTATTATTGTCATTACTGTATTAAATGTTTCGTCAAAATCATTTGCTGTTACTATTTGGCTTATTCTCTCATTTGTATTTTTGCAACATTCCTTGTTTATTTTCTCAACGTTATTTTGTTTATTAGTGTTATTGAAATCAATATTATTTACTTCACTCTTGATTTCATGAAAAAAATTTTTAATGAAATCATTGTTCAAAATTTTACCATTTTGAATATAAAATTTGTTAAAAATGTGGTAAGTAAAAAAATCCGATTTTGATTGAAATAAAGCAGAAAAAATATCTTTTAACTCAATTATACTTGTATTTTTTGAAAGTTGCAATAACTTCAACATTTCTTTGGAATTCAAATCTTCTGAACATGATATATAAATGCTAGCCAAACATATTTGTAAAGCCAATGGTGAAATCACAATATTTCTACTTGATAATTCATCACATGCCGCCACGAATAATTTAAATGCAATTTTTGAATGATTTCGAAAATAATCCGCCATTTTTTTTAACAAAAATACGATCTACTCCTATAATAATTGTTATTAATATATAGGTAACTTATGTATGTAAAATAAATTTTATTTATAACTTTACTATAATTTGCTCGCTGCAGAAGTTTCTAACTAACTAATCTGAAATTAAATTTAAATAGTCATGGGGAGAAAAATATTACAACTACAATTATAAATAATTTATGACGTATTAATATGAAAAAGCTTTTAAATGTTTATCTTTTCGCGTCGTTTTTTTTGTTTTGTTCACTTATTTAAGGTCAGCGCGTAGGTAACGAACGAACAATAGCAAAAAACATTTTGTATAGTTTTACATTAGATCATTAATATAGGAATATCTGCGTGCCCCCCCCCCCCCGTCCCCCACATACAATTTTTTGCTGGAAAAAACCATCCCTGACATTACTTACACTTTATGCGAAATACCCTGGAATTATGACTTTTGTTTATATTTTGCAAATGTTCTTTTAAATTCTGCGCTTTCTCAAAAAATTTGTTTTATCGAGTTTTTGAGTTTTTGGATTACTTAATGAAAATTGGCATTGTTGCACTTTGCATGATGGAAGCATTTCCTTTTCCATAGTAAAAATATCTGAAATATAAAATGTACAAATTTTGTATTCTGTTTTTCTTCTGCCTAAGTAATTTAAATATTCGAATAATAATTAAATATCGACATTAAATAAACTGAATTTTAAATATTTAGGTGTGTTACACCTAGCTACACCATCAAAATTTCGTTATAGCTTTACAGCACTTCAGATACATACATATATATATGTATAATTATAATAATCATGTATAAATTTTAAAATTAAACTCATAAAGCTGAATTTTTTTGAAATTAAGATTGTGAAGCAGATTTATGATGGTCAAGTGTGAAAATGGGTTACTTCATTTCATGATTATAATTTTAGTTTTGTTTTTTAAATTTAAAATTTGTTTTTTTTTATTATTATTATTTTTTTAATATTTCCAAACAAATGCAACAATTTATTAATGTTTTCCCATCGAAAATGTGGTTTTTTTCTCCTCTTTTTTTGTTTCCATCGCACTTTTTTCGCAGAGTCGGGCATATGTCAATAAATCAAGCAGCCATACATTATAATTTGCCTTATAGTTCACTATATGGGCGTTTCAAAAGGGCTAAATACGATACAAATACTACTTCAGCTGCAAATACAAGTACAGCGTCAAATGCAAGTGCAAATAATTCAACAGGAAATATTGAAATCATTGAAAATAGTCCAGAGAATTCGGTAACAAATAATATTGAAATTTATAATTTTTTGCTTTTATTGTATACCTATTTTTATTTTGTAGATGCATATGCTTCATCAATTTCAATATAGTCCTGGACCATCAACTACTCCACAACCAACTCAACAGCAACAACAACAGCATATTCAACAAAATCAGCAACCCCAACAACAACATCATCAGCAACAACATCATACAATTCAAATACAACATCATGCAACACAGCCACAACATCATCAGCATATTCAACAACAGCAGCAAGATGTAGTTACATCATCCAGTCAAATTATTCATCAACAAACTGGACAAATACAACAGATTTATCACCATCACAGTACACCAGAGAGAAGTTGAAAAATGCTTAAGCCTCCAGATAATACAAAAATTATCAGCAGGATTATTATTAAACAAGAATAAGATTTCAAAAGAAAGTTGATGATAAGACAAAATGTTTAAAACAGAAAAAGAAAAGTAATTACAAACAAACTTAACAAATTTTAAAACAAAAATAAATTTTTTTATGACAATTTATAATTTTATGCTGAAAAATAAAAGGAACTTTTTTGGAATAAAGGTTAACAAATTAATTTGAATCAAGCAACAATCTTAATCTATTTACTAATGTTAACATGGATTTATACATTAGCATTACCAATACACGATTCATTACATAATTATGTTTATTTATATTAAAATTATATTAAAAAAATAGATTCATGAAATAATTATTGGAATACTTGTAATTAATTATAGCTAATTCAAATCAAAAGTAAATAATAAGATCAGGAAAGTAGATATAAAACATACATCTTAACTATAAATTTAAGTAGTAAATTTCAAGATCAAATATATTGTAATCAAAATTGAAATTACTGTATATATATATATATATATATATATATATACCAGTATAAATAAATAGTAGGTGTGTGTAGAATAATTGCTACATATTTCAAGACATATTAAAATTTAAGTACATTTTGTGTAACGGTTAAAAAATGAAACCATAATTAATAAAAACTAAATAAAATATAATAATGGTAATATAAAACAAAAAAAAAACTAAAAAGATGAACAAAGTCTCCACAAATCTATATGAACATATAGATATAAATATATATATAAAAAATTAATAAACAAATGTAAGAATAATAACTATTATATTATATAAATATAAAACAAGACAAGAAACAAAAAAAGTAGAACACTATAATATAATTATATAATTAAAAAAAACATATATTAACATTATTAAATTATTAAAACACAGAAATATGAGTATTTGATAGTTTTATTTTAATGTATACGCGCATATACATAAATATAAGATATTATGTGTTATTCATTTATAAATATACATAATTATTATATAAATATTATATAACTATACTCGTATGCATAATATATACGTACTCTAATGGATTTATTTATACAAATTTTTAATTTTAACTTTATATAAATATATAACATAAATATAAAATAAGACTTAATTTCAGATTTTAAGCTGAAATGCCGTTTAAATGTTCTGTATTTTTTTTATTAGTATAGAAAAAAACATTTGAATATAAACAAAGATTACTCAAAATTTAATTTATAATACAATAATAATTACGATCTTTACGAGAAATATTTTACAATGGAAAATAAAAAACAATATTAAATAACACAAAATATAAAGTGTTCCCTTTATTTGTTTTGGAATCTCTTTCATTTTATATTCCTTTTATTTTCAGTAAGACTGCTTTCCTTTATATATTAATTAATAGTAAAATTAATTTATAAAATATAGAAAAAAAAATAAAATAATCAAAAACTTAATAATAAATGTATAGCAAATGATAAGAATCATATAACTGTAGCGTATTTTGTAAATGTTAAGAACATAAAAAAATCATAAATAGAGAAAAAAATTGTTGAAATTTAAACATACATAACATAAATAACTACTGTAAAAATATATATTATTAAGGTATAATTGTAAAACGGTTAAAAGCTGAAGGTATTCATTTGTTATTCAATGGTATATTTTTTTCCCAAAATTAAGCTATAAAAAATATTTTATGTACACACATTAAATTTTATGAAAATTTTGAAAGAAAAGAAGAAAAATCAAAATAACTAAAAAGGAGGTGAACTTAAATTTATTTAGTTGTGTGTACATGTATTGATTCGCATCTAAATGTGTCTACTCTTATCATCTGTGTATTTTAGAATGTCCAATTTTTAAGCAAAAATATGTTACACCATTTCCACCAATTTTAAAAATTATGTTTGGCAAATATGAAATTTTAGTAAAAATAATTTAATTTTTATAAAATATTCTTTTTCTCAAATCATTGCTAATTCATAACCACTACTTTAAACATTGTTAATGACTGCTTTTCTATTATATTTAAGTATTCAATTATTTCTTTTAACTTCGGAGAGTGCAAAAAATCATTAATCAAATTTGCTTCCAACTATGATTCTTAAATATATATTTATAATATTTTAATTCGAACTAGTTCACATAGTTTAAACAATGTAATAAAAATATACACTTAATATTTATAATAATCACAATCTGTGCTAAAAAAAAGCATCAATTTTTTTGTATAACACGTCCAAACTCGAAATTACAGAGAGAAAAAAGAACTTCTTTTTACTAACTATTTTAATAAAGGAAAATTTTTAAAAATTTATTTAAAAAAAAAAAAAATATATAGAAATTCTTTCTGGCCTTTTCTAACTGAATAAACATATAAAAAATTGTAGAAAATTTTTTTAAACAAAATATTCAATAAGGTTACACAACAATTATTATGTAAATGTATAGTCTCATATACGTAAAATAAAAAAAACTACTAGTGTTATTCTTAAGATATAATAATTATTAACATTATAAGTGAAATAATATTTAAAAAAAAAAATATTAGATATAAATAAAATCAAAAAAGAGACGACATTTCAACTTAAAGTCTTTGAAAAAAAAGTAAAAAAATTTCTAAAGAAAAACAAAATAACAAAAAATGGAAAAAACCACATTATTAATATTTTAAGTAAAATAAATTTCTTCCTAATAGAAATAATTTAAATTTTATTTAAGCTAGAAATGAAAAAAATAAAATAAATAAAGTAAAATAATTAAAAAATTAAAAATAAATTATTTATACTAACTCTGAAAAAAAATATGCAGCTGGAGTCTTATTTATAGATAAAAATTTTTACCAATCACCCTTGTTATAATCAATTTTCACAAATTCAAGTAAAACTGGTTTTTTTTATTTATTTTCACTCATATATTGTTTTTTAATTTTGTGTTCTTTGCCGTTTAAATGAAAAAAAATATATATTGTAATGTATAATGTTATTTAAAATCTCTTTTCATTATGATATCCTTTATGAAAAAATATAATTTATATTATATAAATTTTATGAAATAAAAAATCAAATTACAATTTTTATTTTAAAAATGCAATTAAAATTTTCATTTTATTCAATTATAATTAAAGATAAAATGCAAAAGTGTTTATCTGTAAATAAAACTCCAGCTCATAAAACAAGAAAGCTATAAACAGATAAATAGATTATTCCAAATTTGACTTATAGTTTGTATAAGAAGAGCATATATAAATTCCTTTAACTTAGTTGTATAAAAGTTATTTAAAATTACTTCAATATATAGTTTTCATAATAATTTATGTGTTAACATTAATGTATACTATAGAATACCATTAATTTTTTCATAATTTTATGTCTGAAATATTTTGTTTTGCATTTTTACTTTAGTTAAGAATCTTTTTTTTTGTTAACTTCCATTATTGTTTTTTGGTCAGTTATATATAAATTTTGTTATTCATAACATGCTATATTTACCAGAAATTTTGTTAAAACTGTTCCAAGTTTCATTGATCGAATCTACTAATGTTTCAAAATTTATACGCGTACATACTTTGATAAGATTTATGGATATGTATAGACATATATGTATATATATATATATATATATGTGGATAGATATATAAATATATGTATACAATATATCTATATATATATATAATCTTATATATTCACACATATGTGAATATGTAAAATTCTTATTTAATGCTATTTGCAAATTATAACTAATAATTTCGATCTGAAAATTAATATTGCTACGCAGCAAGATATATTCGATTTCACATCGATTGATTAATTTGGTTAAAAAATTCAGAAAACATTACAATTGAAATTTCAATATTTCTTATCAAAATATTTTTTAAATTTTGTGAAATTTACTTTACAGGACATTGCATTTTACAATTATTCACTATAATTCATTTAGTATATTTAAGTAAAGTAAGAAAATCAAATTTAATCTACGTTTTGGTAATATCTTAATTTTGCTATAATTTTTAACATAAAATTTATACAAATATCAGTTAAAATAATTCGATTAAATTCTAATACATTATTTTCCTTAATTCCTCTACAATATTTAAAATTATTATTAAGGGAAATATTTTTATATGTATAGAAGTATATGTATGTTTATGTTAAAATAATTTTATATCTGGTTAAAAACAAACATTTAATAAAATTATTTTTTTTCCTTATTTTTATTTTATTATGTTTTATCATTTTTTAGGATTTTATTGATATTTTTTTTAAATTTACGTTTTAGATTATAATCGTAGTTTATGAAATAAGTTTTTATTACATAAGTTTAATTAAAAGAAAAAAGATTGAAATTATTATAATATACATTTTTAATTATGAGCATCTTATTAATACTATTATTAATATTATTATTATTATTATTATTAATATTTCATTGTTATTTCTGGAAAAAATCAAATTTAAAATAAAAAGTAAATAAATACACATAGTATTTAAACATATTCATAATAACTATATATAAATACTCATATATATATATATATATATATATATATATATATATATATATAAACTCATATCTTTATATATATATGTATATTTATATACATTGTACTCTTATATATATATGTATATTTATATATATATATATATATATATATATATATATATATTAACATATTTATATATATAAAACCCAGAGTTAAAGTAAATAAATTTATATCAGAAAAATTAAAAAATAACAACAAGAAATTATTTAATAGTTGAAAAGTAAAACAAAAAACAAATAAGTAAACTAAATATAATTATAATTAATACCGAAAAAAAATAAATTAAAAATATATGAAGAAATTTATGTAATAAAATTAAAAATATATTATATTATAAAATGAATATTAAAAAATAAAACAAAATAATTTTGCGCGTTGCGTAAAATTCATTAATAATTTAAATGAGCTTTGTTTTCAATTTGGCCTCGTTTTAATTTTTGTTTGCTGCAAAAAACATTTCGTTTTTTTTTTGGTAATACTGCAAAATATCTTCTGTCGTATAAATTGACAGCATAAATTTATTTGCTTTTGTGTTATAGAATATTTAAAGGTAATAGGTAAAAAACTAAAAAGGACTAAAGTATTAAAGGACATAAAATTTCTCATATCAGCTATTAATGTCATTAACATTTCAATATATTTTCTTGACACGAAAGTTTTTGTTGAAAATTCTGCTTTTATAGTTTTACTCGTAATGCTGTGTACTTTTTCTATATAACAGAAAAAGTTTGATGCGTTACAATTTTCAAATAAGTTTTTTTCCCCAAACGCATTTTTCTAGCGAATTTACCACGCGTTTAAAATTTGTATCTGCTAACATATACATTAGCAGAGTTTAAAATAATAATTAATTTTTTTAAAGCATAAATTATTTCCAACAACAGTTGTGATTTTCATACAAATTTGGAAATTATTTTTCATTTTCTGAAGCAATATGTAACATTTCTAATTAATCTATTGATTAATTTGGAAAAAGGTGTTAAACCATACACTTTTCCTTTTTTGAAAAAACTTAAAACTAATAATATGAATAAATAATTAAGTATATAAATATACAAATAATAAATATACAAAAATAATCTATTATTTATTATAATTGAAAAATTTTGCTCAAAAATATTTAATAGTAACACCTCGCATAAACAACCCTATCATGAAATCCACTCGTAGAATCCTACGAATTCCTGTCGTAGAGATTATTACCCTTATTATGATTGGCGAAGCGAATGACTAGGCGAGTCGAATGGACTAGGTGAATCGAATGACATTTTAAATTATGATCGGTGAATGCTTTCATTCGTCAGATGCAAAATGTTGCTGCCGCAAGATATCAGAAAACCTATCGAAAATAATGAGTTTGACATAACACACATGTACTTTGTTTTTGTGTTTTTGCAAAAACAATTATTGACTTTTCCTATTAGGAATGTCGGGTTGTTGCCCATTAGTTTATTTAAATGCTCGAATTGTTTTTTTAATATTAATTT